CTGGTCATCTCAGCCCCTTTCCCAAAAACAGGAAACTTATCCTTTAACAGTGCACAGCAGCCCTGCTTCTCAGACTCCAGCAGCTACCACATCATCCATTCGACACCGGGTAAAATAAGAGCCTCAAGGCTACAAATGTACAGAATAAACCTTACAGATGTAACATGTATTGACTGAGCAGGGGGGTGGCAAACAGGCGGGAAGAAAGTTTCTTTTTCTGTCCACAAACCAGGATAAAAGAGAGAAACTGAGGAGCGGTTGTTTATCTACAGTACTTTGTACAAGTTCGGCTCTTTTTCTGTCAGGCTGAGTGCTTTCCACAAAATCCTTTTTCTGATGAAACTCTTTAAAGAGACGCTGATGCATCGTTAGGGTCATTTTTGTGGCATTGCTTTGTAGTGCTGTTGAGCTGTGTTGCATACCTAGGTGTTTGTAAAAGAATGCAATTCAGTCAAGTCAAATTCATACACTATCTATCATTAGGGACACAGAAAAAAAAAAAACATTACAACACAATCAAGCAGCACCACAAACCCCCCATCTGATTATAAAGTTACAATAATTATACTTTAAGCCCCCTTACCTAGCATCCATTTGACATAAGCAATCTTTTAAAAACAGGTTTATGGGGTGCTGGTGGTCTAGCGGTTAGTTTGTGTGCCCCGTGTACAGAGGCTGAAGTCCTCCAATCGTACAGCCTGGGTTTTAATCTGACCTGTGGCTCCTTTTTCAGCATTTCATTACCCACTCTGCCTCACCAATTTCTGGCGCTATCCACTGTCCTGTCTCTACAATAAAGGCATAACAACACACTTTAGAGTTGGTGTACTACCGTGAGTTTTTTTCGATTCCTAACAAAACTAATCCTATAGTCTTGTAGTATAAAATCCTCAAATAAACAGAAAACATAAACATAGTAAAACACAGTTCTAGTCAAACAGGCTACAAGAGAGCTGTGGTTGTTGGCAAAAACTCTACTAATCACATCAAAATGTAAGACTTCAAAATATCACATCTGCAGCAGCACTGAGATGTATTTCAAAGTACTTTTAAAGTACTCGTGTATATGTTGCTCTAAATGCTAAAAATTGTGTCAAATTGTGTCAAATTGGCATTAAAGTTCCCAAACACATATACAGCTTTCTTCCTCTGTCACAACAACTTAGTAAATGACTAGTTTTCTTTAGATTAAATTCTGTCATTTCAAAAAGGTTAATAGACGTACAGCGGTGCCTTTACTGTTTTGGTACTTGACTGCATCAGTTTTAGTCAATTTACTAGAAAATCAAACAAAGTGGGCCTTGCAGGTAAAACTTTGTGATGGGCTAATGTTGGTTCACCTTCTCACTTTTCCTGCACACAGGGAGGTCTTTCATATCAATCCGAGTAAATATACACCTGCTCATCTATTGAAATCCAGTACAGCTGTACTACCATAACTTCGACTTTTACGTTGTCTATTATGTTTGGGATTTTTAGATTTGGGCTTCATTTTTCACATTACAGGTGTTACCGGTGATGGTGCTTTATAAGAGGACACACCTTTAAACCATAACACCATTCACTAAGACCTTAGTAATGAACATACAACCAAATGTTCAAATAACCAACAAAAAACAACCTTTTGAAGGTAGAACTTCTGGCAGATCGGTTTTTACTGAATTGTGATACAATGTTCAGAAGTGGCAAAAATCAAAGTGGCCACTGAGTGTAAATTAAGAACTCAAAAGACGAGAATGGTACTTCTGAAGTAAGACACACAAGAAATGTTAAAATGTGCAATTATTTTACTCCTTTTCAAATAAATGAGGACAGGCTGATTTGGGAAAAAAAAGAACTTAACCAACTGCAACTAATTGCTCCTTTCATCTATCCAATTAAAAGCATTATTTTAATCCAAGTAGTCTATTTCTTGTTGTGATAGCTCGTCACAGCCTTTTAATCGGCATAAAAATGCCAGTATTGCATATTAATTCAGCATTGACAGAGATGTCATTTACACAACTGATTTTAACCCGATCCCACCATGATGGAGCCTAATTGACATGTTGTGTTGGCAAAGCTAGCCGCTAACTGCTAACGTTTTCAATCCATACCCACTCAGGTGTGTATGTGTGAGACAGGGTGTGAGGAAGTTGTTAAAATGGTGCTGAGGATCAATAGGATGTTGTTGTTAGCGAGAGACCTTTCAGGGGAAACATCAGTAAAGGTGCAATCACAAGTTGTCATGTGTGATGTTTGTGAAATGCATCTGGAACGTCTCTCCCTGCAGCAGCCTGTATAAACAGTCAGCAGCGACGGCTTGGCTCCGCAGCACTTTTTTTTTTTCCTGTGATGAAACAGCTCAGTTGCATGAGGTAATCTCACCCTTACCCAAATGAGATGGTAATGCCTTCACTCAGGGAATTCAGCAGCACCTAGAAGAAGGCTGTGCAGCTCAAATGGGACTAATAATAGAGCGTGCGTTCTCTTAACTCGGAATCTATATTATACGCTTCAAAAATGAGATCAACTATATGGGTCAGTGGGATTTCTGGGAGAGAAAAAAAGAACAGAAAGGAGCTACAGAAAGAAAATATGCTCCGCTGACAACAGATCTGAGGAATGCAGAAGCTAATAAGAAAATTATTTGGGCAGAGCAACAGCTCAGAAGTTTAATTAACAGAGCTGGTTTTTAACTGATTGAAAGAGAATACATGTCCACACTCATGTGCATGCAAGCCTAATTATTTTCAACCCCTTGATTGTCTAAATAGGCTTTATAAATAAAAGCACAAGTGACTTGAAAATGTTCAAAGGGTCTGATTTTAGAAATGGAAATGATCAAAGAGCAGTCTTTCAAAACTCGTGTGATCCGTGAGCTGGAATACACGGGGACTTCAGTCGTCCATGCTGCTGTGGCCTAGGTTTCATTTTAACTTTGGAGGAGACAAACACACACACACACACACACACACACACATTCCTACTGCAACCCCCAACATCTGGCTTTCTCAGAGGACAATAAAGACATTTATTAGCCTCCATCTTTGCTACCCACTAATTGAACTGAACTTATAAAAACAGAATCAATAAATACCTTAGATCAGATTTGTAGTAAATGGATTTGATCTAATGCAATGTACATGCTTCCTGGTTGATGGATTTTACAGTATACTTAAAGAGCAGCAAGGCCTATTTATTAAGGAGATGAATAATAAAACATGTTTAGATAATTATGTCAGTGCCTTCGCGTCGCCTCAGGCATTGTGTTCACATGCGGGTGCATAACCAACAGCCCACGTTGGCTCCTGATCCATTTTTATGTTACTGGCTGTTATCTTTACTTAGTGTGTTGATTAAAGGAAGTATATGTACAACATTTCAAAACCCATGCAGAGACAAAGCACAGTTTGGTACTTATTTGGTACAGCTAGTTTGGTACTAAGCTGCAGAAAGGGAGTGGCTTCTTTCCCCCCTGTTTGGCTCCTTGGCATTATTCATGGCCCCTCAGACGTGATACATTCTGAATTAAGTTAATGTACAGAGCATAGTTAATTATATGTTTGATCAAGTGGGAATAATACAAGTCAAAATACAGTACATGCATGGTTTTAAGTGATTTATTTATAGCTTAGTGCTGCTGGTGCTCTTTAAAGTTTTGTATATCGTCCAGTTGCACAAAAAAAAGTCACTATTCTGCCGTTAACTCTTCCTTCCTCTTAACTTATGTTCAGAAATCCAACTTCTTTGGCTAGTTGATTTATCTTTCAAAGCAGGGTGGGGGTTGTGTTTTTGTTGTATTGAAGACATTGCATTTCCAAGGGAATGTTCTGTTTTGTTTCAGATTCATATTTCTGAGCACACCCCAGTTACACAGATGGATTGCATAAATATGTCAATTACATAACCAAAGAAATTCAATGTCACTCACAACAGCAGCAGTCCACATAATCTATCAGACACCGGCACAGAGGACACATGCTAATTACCTCAGCAATGCAGATCCTACTTTTATAATGGACCTGAAGGAAATACAGTAGACATAACACTATAACACCCTGTTGGTGCGTAAAGGATGGATCTTCGATCCCCTGGCTCTTTCCTGATACTCAGAACGCTGCATTATTCCCTGCGGACTAAAATAGATGCAGTCAGTGCTGCCCTGTTCTTTTTGAAAGTCATCTGTGGAAGGTGCAAACTTCACAGGATTATAAGTCAGCAGTGAGACTGGCAAAGCACTGATCCGAGGACAAAATGACTGCAGCTGGTTTCGATGGTAAATGTGCACAAGCACCTGCATACACAGCTACACAGACACACACATTGTACATTCTATTAGCATATCATAGTATTGGTCCATTAAAGACTGTCTTATTGATTATGAAAAATGTAAAAAAAAGACAATCTATTATTTTCCTTTGCCTCTTTTAAATCCTGCACTTGTGCTCCTCAAAGACAAGTTAGGGGCAAATTATTCTCTCGCGTGCACCTTGTGCTTTTGTTAGCTCATAGCTAATGATCAAATACTTCCCTCAACAGGTCTTTAACCTCAAAGGGACCTTAATGACACTTTGGCCAATTTAGATTCTTTATTGATGACTGTAAATTAATAAAGCAACAATAGGTTGCCCATCACTTCTTCCTGTTGCCATGTGTCATGCACTTTAGGGTCACACACACAACACCAAATTACATTTGTCGCCTCCATTAATGTCAGAGCCTTAAAGCAACATATCATCACAGTGTGGAGCTTGGTTTAACTGTAATTGAAAAGGCCCAAGGGGAATTCCTAGGTTGTGTGGGGGGCCCCTTTAACCCCCACTACCCTACATCCATCATTGTGGAGTTAGGCCCTGGGGTGTTCTTGTAACGCTGAAGGTTAACAGTGAGATCGCCGTCGTCCTCACTCACAGCCTTTAATATAGGACTCTAGAGCTGCTGCAAACATTAGAAATCAGCAAAAAAAAAAACTACATGCAGCATCATGTCAAGCACATATTAAATTGACGGCCACATACCAAGGAGAGCAAGCTTGATCCCGTCAACACATCCGTGTTCAGCGAATGGATGGACTTCAAAAGGCATGTGATCAGAAACAGAATCCTTCCTTCAGATGTGGAGTTCACAGGCTTGATTACACAGCCGCCTTGCAATGCATACTGCAACAGATAAAATTAAACACTCGCGATTACTCACTGCTTTGAAACACCCTGGACCATGATCAATGTGATCCCCTTTTTTAAGTTCAACCTCAAACGACAGAGATTTTTGAAATCATACAAAGAAAGTGTTATTTTAATGCTGTTTCTCACAACAGAAAACAAATTGTTTTTAATGAAATGTGATAGTTTTGAGAGACAGCAAAGACAAATTTAGGCACTTAGAGTTTCTTTTTAGTGTTTTTTTTTGTAAAATCTAAGGCATTGTGCTCTTTAGGCGTCATGATCAAAGCCTTTTTAACATTTCCTAACACACGCTTCAAATGCATTCTGTAAAATGCGAATCATTACGCAGAGGCTCAAAGACGTAACTGATCATTTCTCAGAGATCACATTCTGTGAAGGAGCACAGATGAAGATAAAGGCAGGCATGAATTCCTGCTCAAATGTGCACATTTAAACATATTCATGTTGCTCTTCACATACATGAAAGCTAGCAGCTGCCCTTGCCATCAAGCGGAGGACATTAAGGCTCAGCCTGGTTGATCTCTGATGACAAGGGTCTGGAGGAGGGATTAGAAAAACACGGACCAGAGTTATGGTCATTCCCTTAAAAGGAAGGCATTGCGTCTCATAGGCCTGAAGCTTGCAGGAGTTGAAAGATCTTTAAAGGTATATTCTCACCCCGCACGACCTACTACAACTCCCTTAAAACCCTTGAAAGCATATATTTTAGGCAATGTGTACTTTTAAAATATCATTTAATTTCCTTTCAATTGCAGCAGGCTATAACAAATTCTGCAGGTCATGTCTAAGAGCTTTCAATTTGTTGTTTTCTCTTCCCCCCCAATAAAATTAACAGTGTCACCAGCTCATAGGAGACCTTCAAAGCCCCCATGATATCTCAGAGACTGGCTCATCCAAAACTGTCAAAATATCTGTTATGTAAGGCATGGATAATACATGAAAAAAAGACGCCTTTTGAGAACCATCCGCAGGGGTAGATTGCATTGCATCAAAAGACAAATATGCATTAGATATGAGGATGGGCGGGGCCTTTCTCGCCATCTTGCTGCGTATTGGCTGTCGAGCGAAACTCAGTTTTTTGGCGAATTTGACAACAATAGTTGGAGAGCTGAGTGTTGGAGGGGCTTGGGCTTAAGTTGACAGAGGAGCGACCGTTGGGGAGAGTGAATAGGAGCCCGGTTTAATAAGCCTGGGTAGAGGCTGGACTACACAGGGGGCTGGCACCGCTGAAATACTGCAGCGGAGATTAAGACTGGGAAGAAATATAAAGGATGAATCTGGTAAGATCATAAAAAGTACATCACTGGATTTGTAAACACACCAAACACGTGCATATAATTATGAAGATTGCATTGTCTTACATAAGAGCCCTGCTTCTGATGGCGTGTATTGAAGCCTATTAATTGTCAAGCTGTCAAATTAACACAGACAAGAAACAGATTACCTTTCTGATGTATTCATTTCTCCCTTCTGTTTCATCTTATTGACATTTGGATTATATAGTGTTCAATCTTCTACATTAGAATCAACCTTTCTTCATTGTTACAGTTGCCCTCATTATGCAGTCCTAGCATCATTGGTGCCTTGATGCCAAACCCTTCAGTAGCTTCTGTTCTGCAACTGGAAAGTAAAAAAAATTAAAGCAGCAGTGCAGCTGCATCCAGTTTAGCATGTGTGGTGGCAGTCCTCCATGGAGAAAGCAGCCGAGTAAAGGGAAAGCCGATATGAGTCAAGTTGAATGCATGTTTGGAGGGGAGATTCTGGTGGAGGACACCTACTGACCATGGCTGCACACTGGCGGAGATTAGGGGGCCATCAGAAGGAGCCACAGAGGGTGAAGATAGCCAGGAGCTGCAGGGGAAGAGATAGATGAGATGCAGGAACAAGAGGACCTGGCGGAAAAATAAGGGGGAGGAGGGGGCACAGAGGGGTTGGATGAAAAGAAAGCAGGTTGGGGAGCCACAGAACCATTGGCCTGACCTGGGGAGGATGGGGGGGCTAAAGCCAGAGATCCAATTAAAACCACATTCAGTCGGTCAGAGTCAACGCTGACACAACCCGAGCGGTAACGCCTATACTCGGGAAAGTACAGAAGCCGCCGAGTGGAAGTTACGCAAGATGTCACGTATGGTTATGATGAGGCATAAAACCAAAGGGCTGGTGTGACAAAGCAGCCCACCCCACTGGTACACAGCTGGGGTGCCACCCAAGCATGGCATAACAACCATCTACGGAGCTGGCGAAAATAGCGATCCAACAGATCCCGAGGTGAAATGGATTTATTTACATTAAATTGATGTAGAAGATTTTCAAAATGGCGCCTGCGCTTGTTGCCAGGCAGAGAGAACAAGCGTAAAGATGGCGGTACACAAGTGGCAAACTGGGAAGTAGAGGTCTAATCATTTGTGATTACCAACAGCGGGGAGGAGGGGAGGGTGTGGCAATGATTATGGAATATTACTAGGGCTTGGTCGAAAACACACAAAAAAGACCTCGTACTGCAATCAGAAATGGATGATTTTGACGTTACCCTATGGAAAGCAGCTATTCCATGTTCAGATACAGAGGCTGCCTAAGCAGGAATAATATTTCATGACCTCCATGTTTTCTAATAGGAAACATATATTATTTTGATAAATAAAGGACAAATGAGGAGAAAGTGGTGGTGCATAGGGTTTAGAAATTAAGACTAGAGGAAGAAAACCCATAACAATGATGATATTAAAAACAATGACACTGTTACTGTTTCAACATCAAAAAATTTTTAATGTTTGAACAGTGTCGTTGTTTGTGGTGTATTGAAATGGTGGCAATACAAGAGAAAGACATTTGACCAGTCATTGCATCACTACAGTGACCCATCAAAGCCAAACCAGTTCACCTCACGTTTGTTGAAGAAAATGGTACTTCACTACTTTTAAAACATCAACCGATGACTCTAAGGTTGTTTCACACTACTTATAAATCAATTATCAAACAGTACCAGTAACAGTCAAGGATGTACCAGCCACATGTCAAATGTCTTCTTGTAACCCTTAAGGACAAGCAAGTGCAGAAAATGAATAAACAGAAAGATGATTCACATTTTTCAAAGTGGTTGATGTCTTGTAAAAATCTGAATCTGAATCTGAAATTAACTGCGGTCAAACTCAGGAGGGATTTGCAAAATGCATCATCAAAAAATATCTCACTCTCCCCTAAGATGCATACCCATGAGTGCTATGTGCAACAGTCAGTACTGCACTTTAAACCAGCATGCAGAAAAAAAGTCGTAAACAAGTTCATCATAGCTCTGCACCATTTCAAGAACAATTACAAATAGGCACTTACTTTGCATGTTTCACTCTGAAAATATGATGGAGGATAAAAACTGTTTGGAGAAATGTTTTTTTTTTTTTTTTTTTAATCATTTTTGAAAGTATAGGATGGATACATGTCATTAAAGGCCTTTCTTGCTTTTATTTCTTCATTCAAATAGCTTTAGAATAAAAGGAATGATGACCAAAGTTCTCCACACTTAAATAGAAACTAGTGTGGATAAAGACAATTTACACGGGAAATGACAATGTCTTCTAATAGAGTCTTCACCCCATGTTTTTGTAGCCATCTAGACAACTTCCCCTCCATCAAATCCTCTCACTGGAATATAGGAGATCACTGTTAGAGCTAGTTAGCTGTCAGATCACTATACGAATGTGTTTCAAAGAAATGTAAAATGAATGCACTTTTGACCTGATTTCCTTTTGAAATGTATGGAGCAAATTGGAATATATATAATGGCAGTCATCATCGGCATGATTAATGATATAAAATGCTGACATACAGGTACAAAGCAGGGAGCTTTTGCTTCTGGCAGTGGAGCAGAGGCTTTTCTTCCCCCATTACCTTATTCATCATAATTGTGACCCATCTGACCTCCACAGTAATCAGTCTACTGCAGGACGATGACAGACTTCACTGTCATCTTCTTAGCTACTCACCATTATATGTCCCATTAACTGTACTTCAGCCTGGTCACTCAGTTTTCAATCACTGTAATTATTTTGTTAGAGAGGTGTATATTTTTTGAGAGAGCTGAGAATGAGCTGTATGGAAATAATAACTATCTATATTAGTTTTAACTCTGAACAAGGATGAGTGTTGAAACTTCAAGTTCTGCTGGGAAAAATAGGCTTCAAACACAGCTTATCCCCCCCCCCTCAAATAATGAGGCGTTTGTTCAATTTTGCATTCCTGAAGGTATGAAAAACAAGCAGTGAACAAATATGTCAGAGAGAAAGTAGATGAAGCGTAGAAAACATTTAACTATTTGCACCAGTGTGTGCATCCAAAAAAGAAAAACTAACATCTCTCTTTGAGTTTTTTTTTTTCTCTTTACAACTTTTTCAACTTTTTTTTTTTTTCAATTACCAAATGAAACAGAATGGCACATATCTGTTCCCTGAGAGAGGAGCTGTGATTTTTTAAACTGTGAAATCCTGCAAATCTATTTACTCAGAATCAAAGAGAGGAGCTCAACAGTCTTTCCATGTAGACACCTTTATGAAGAAAATAAAAGAGTTCTGTTTGTGGCGTGAATAGAATCAGGGTCGCATTAATAGAGTGTTCAGTTATCCAAAGTCGGACAATACAATATTGTTCAGGGCTACTGGGTACTATTTCTGTGTGGAGCTAGCTTACTTTCAAGGTAAGACGTTTTAGGCATGCATGCATGTTTGACAGAGGGACAGAAATCAAATGAAATACAAAAAAGATTAATTGGATATAACAAAATAAGCGAAACTTGACTTCGATTGGAAGCAAAAGCACATACTAATTGAAAGACAGAGTGCGCGTGACCCTTTGGCGAATACACCTGTATCCCTGAAACGCACGCGCTCATGACGCAGTTAGAAAAACTAAGATCTGATTGAAGAAGCCGACGCTCTTAAAGAGGAATGTTAACTTACAGAATAAACATGAAAATGTGGCCAGATGTAAGATTTCCCCCCTCATGTTTGCGTTCACTTGCAGAAGATAAACCTCAATGAAAGTAGTGAAATAATAAAAGTGTTAAAGGCCTGGCCGGTCACTGACATTCTTAATCACATGGTGTTCCTCCTCGGAGTGAAGTTACCTTCCAGATTCGAGTCGTACCGACATTAGCTTGCAAAGACATACATTAATTTACAACAAGAGAAAAGTTTGAGTTCATAATGAAAATGCATTGAACGGTTTTAACCACACACGCCTGATCAAAGAGAATATAGACACTTTAATAAAATATAGAATACATAATTAATTATACAATGTGCTTATGTACAGTAGAACTGTATGCTAATTAAACGCGTTTAATAGTATCACGAACACTAGCTTGTGCTCACACTGGGCTTACTTTGCACAGAAATGGGAAAAATACAGATAATACAAACAAGAATGTGAAGTGAAAAAAAGGGGTCGAAAAGTGGAACTTAATCAAAAGGGAGAAAAATGTAACCCTGTGAGCCATGCGCAGTCATATTACAGACAAATCACGCTGCAGGCCCACTGCGCAGACAGGTTAGGTCTTCAATTTAAGATCTTTGAGATATTTATTTAATCTTAGGACATACATACATACATGAATAATGCCTCTATCTTCCCGACGTACATTACATCTGGTTTACATTCACAAAAAGCCCTAAACTCAGAGCTATACATTCAGCATTTCCTTTCATTTTCCAGTAAGCTAATAAGTTCAGAGGTCCCAAAATGCGCAGATTTAGGCTACATTAGATTTGTCATCTCTTTTTTTTTTGTCTCAATTATGATAGATATCTTTCATAAAAAATGTAACACAGCGAACAATTATGCATAAACATTTAAGTTTCTTATAGCTCATGTGAGAGATGGAGCTTCAGGCTTAAAGCCAGAGCCAACCGGACAGGCCTCACAACAACAAATTAAGCTCACTACATTTCACAATGCAACAATTTCAATATAAGATGACTCGAGACGTGTCACATAATAACTGATACAACATTCACAAAAACACAGAGTAATAGAGATACAGCTGCGTGTTTATATGGTATAACATGAAAAAATAGGCCCAAAAAATGCGTCCGCCTGAGTCAGAGCAGGACCTCAGAGCGAGGGGATGTTGTTATACTGCTTTGGTTGGAAGTTGTCCACGCCACTGTGGCATGTGTACCATCCGTTCACAAGACTTTTCTGAAAGGGAGAAGAGGAGGGGAAAGTCCTGGAACTCTGGGCAAATGTGTGACCTGTCTGGCCGCAGGGGTACTGGGAGGACTGGGACCTGTAGCTGCCTCTCTGCAGCAACAAAGGGTCTAAGAGGGGCTGTGACCTGTGTGCGGAGTAGTCCAAACTGCTGTCAAACGTGTGATGGAAACGTGACCTCGGGGTCGACTCGTCTCGACTCTCTGGGGACAGGGGGACATCTTGAGTAGAGGTAGGGGGAAGAGGGGAGCTGACCTGAGTTCCATCCGGGACTCGTGTTGACCTGGCCTCCGCAGAGTGACCCATGTCTCCAGGACGCGCGTCTCCGCTTTTGGAGACGTGGTCCTTGTTGCAGTGGAGCTTCATGTGCTTCCGCAGGGAGCTCGGGTGGGTGTAACACTTGTCGCAGCCCCTGACCTTGCACATGTAGGGTTTGTCGCTGGAGTGCACGTGAGAGTGTTTCTTTCTGTCGCTGCTGTTCGCAAACCTCCGGTTGCAGCCCTCAAACTCACATTTAAAAGGTTTTTCACCTAAACGTGCAGAGAGAGAAATAGCAGCGAGTTATGAGAATGCTTTAAGGGCCCTGTGCGCGCTGTCTGATCATACATGATAATAGTAGGTTAATACAGCTAAGTCAAGTGGGCGAAGTTATTTAACCAGGTTGTAAGAAAAGTTGCCCAACATACAAAAAAAAAAATCACAAGCAGACGTCACTCAACTGAAAATCTGAATTTGAGTTTTAAGCCATTGACTCTGGAAAACAGAGAGATTCAGGCCCTTTATCCTTGGTGATTGGTTTTAAAAAGCCCAATTGTCAAAATATTTTTTTGCAAAAACCTCTCGGTGAGTCACTATAAACTCCAGAGTTCCATGTTGCCAAAACTTTTGAGCAGTTCTGATCGCAACAAGCGATGCTACGGACTAAATCAACAGAACAAGTGGTTAAACATGTAGTATAAACAATGATGGACCTGTCACGGCAAAAGCAAAGATTTGTTCAAATGGAATGCAAAGAATGAATTGCAGCTATCACAATGCTAATTGATCTTGCACCACAGCTGCGCACAGAAGCACACAGTGATGTAGCGGGCAATGAGGAAGAGCTGCACTCATAAATACAACTTTAATAGCTTATGTTACCTTATCATATTAAAGCATGCACCTTATTGGAGTAATGGCTTTTGTAATACGAAATACAATTATTAATATATGTCTTCTGAAGTAAAATATATCTCAGCACATGACTACGCATGTGCAGTTGTGTGATCAAAAAATGTCAATATAGGCGGCCCGTTTCTGCCTCTATTCTCTCAGCTTTCATTAGTCAAAAATGTTTAACCTGCAATTAAAATGGTAAACAGATAAATGTATACTTATTTTTTTTTTTCTGAGAGCCATTCACTTTCTTCTTTTGTAACACTTTCAATTAAAATGCCCAAATTGCAGGATAAATACCCTTGCTGAGATCACGTTTTCATTCCCTAGTGTGGAAATGCAATACAAAAAGCAAATCCTTTATAAAGAATATATTATTCTGTGCTAAAATTGGCCTAGCGGGGAGAGCCCCACTAAGTGACCCTTTAAAAATCGTAATGCATTTCATGACGTAGTTGTAGAGTGCATCTGACCAGCAACAGGCCTCACAGAGTGATTTAAATTAAACCAGAATAGGCCTATAAAATATATCTTTATTTTTACTTTTGTTTACACTGATAATTATTTATTTGCCGAGGTAATCGGTGTGCTCACCTTTTTTTTATATATATATCTCACTACCCCCCTGTGTGCTGAGCTCTCTCTGCTACAGGGATTCTGAGCACAGGAGATGAATCCCTGGGAGGCAGACACCGCGTAACGGCTACGTCACAGCTCTCCGGTGTCCCGGCATTTATTTATTTATTTCCCTGAATGAAGTGGGAGAGGCACCCAAACCACCAGGCCTGCACACTCGCTTGGAACTGCTCTACTATAATACGACTACATCTGTGTTCTCTGCATGGAGTCTGGACAGTTTTTTCTCCTCGAAAAGCAGGCAGAAACAAAGGCGGCAAGAAACTAAGTATTTCCAAAATCACATTTGAAAAAACAACTGAGCCTTAAAACTACCCGCAATTTAAAAAACCTTTTGAAAATATAAATCGATAGAGGAACATAAAGTGACAGAATATGCAAACTTCACGATCATTCAAATATTGAAAATAAAAATATGCTCACATGGATTTAAATTTTAAAACTGTAATATATATATACATATATATATATAAATAATGTTGATTAAATAATACATTTTCATGCAAGATATTTCACAAATGAAACACTTTTATTACAATTTCAGCGTTAGCAATACGTTTTTATTTTTGTTTTAATTATCATCATAGTGTGGGTGATTATTAACTGACCTGTGTGGGTCCTCTTGTGGATCTTGAGGTTCTCTGATCGTGCAAACACTTTCTCACAGCCGTGGAAGGGGCAGGGAAAGGGCTTCTCCCCTGTGTGCACTCTAACGTGGTTCACCAGCTTGTATTTGGCTTTGAAAGGCTTCCTGTCCCTCGCGCAGTTCTCCCAGTGACAGACATACTCGGAGTGCTCGGGTCCTCCGACATGCTCCACTGTCACATGGGTGACAAGTTCATACATGGACCCGAAGGCTCTGGAGCAAGGCAGCTTCCCGGCCCCCTCTTGGCCGTCACTCCACTTGCACACCAGCTCGTGCTTCACTGTTTGTTTGGAGCACCTGAGGAAAGCATCACCTCCTCCTCCTCGCTGAATTGCCATGTTGAGGGGTTTGTAGAGACCCAGGAATTGTGTGACAAGTTGCTGGCCGTTTCCCTTGGGGTTAAGAGCTTGGCCATAGTGGTGAGTCCGGGTGAGGAGGTCGCCAGGTAGACCAAGCATCATCTGGCTGCCGAGGTCTCGAGACGCGTCCGTGGAGGCGTGGGCCTGCTCCTGGTAACTCGTGAAAAAAGCATGGCTTCTGTTGTCTCTGCAGCCAGCAAAGTCACGATGATACCTTCCAATCCCGCCATGTTGGCTCACTCTTGATGCCAGTTGATCAGTGACGGGTGGCATGCCGGCTCCAGAGAGATTGGCTCCAATGATAATGCCCCTAGGGCTGTGCTCTAAGCGGTGGCTGGGGTATCCAGAGTCTGCAAAAGTGGGAACCGAATGGTCAACATATGCACTGGACCTCGTCTCGGGGTAGTCTCGCAAATTGTGCGAGGGGCAGAGTTTTAAGGAACTGCCAGTGGGGTGTCCCATGTGCTCTCCTGCCAAAGGTGGCAGCACCACGCTGGGTTCAGTATTGCTCTCCCCGGGGTTGACGCAAGAGAGAGGGCAGCCACTAAACCTCGAAAGGCTTGTCATGTTTTGTTGTGAGTTTGAGGCTATGAGTTTTTCAAAATCAACCAATTCAGCACTCAGGATGCACCTAGAAATTCTGTCTCCATTCTCCCTTGTTTGTATATCATCTGCATGTGAAATTCTTGGCCGTGAACTTCGCAGAAGTAGGAACCAAACTCAATTTCGTTAAAGTTGGTGTGAGTCCCATGCCGTTCACTTTGCCCTCTTGATTTGTGGCAATAACCGTGGTAGTAAAAATGCTTCGAAACAGGCCATGGTGCAATATAAAAGCACAGCAGGCAAACCTGCTTTTAAAAAGGGAGCGTTGGGATTGGTTGGAATGCGCTGTGATTGACAGGCGCTGGGTTTGTTTTAAAAGGGACACGCAGGCGTTCACCGCACGACTCCGTTTTCAAATATCGCACAGAAAATGCTTTGAAATGTGCCGCGATACTCTCAAATATTTCTGCCTCTTTAACTCCGTGCGCCTTCTCATAAGACCCCCTCTCTAAATCTGCATATATGAGAAATGAAAAGGTTAATGTGAAATTCTAATCTGTGGGATAAATCAAGTGATTCAATGCACACATGAGGAAACACAAGACAATCACACTGTTTTATTTCACTGGATTTCTTAACCAAAAGCAAATGTCCCTCCTCCTGCCCTGCAACAATAACACAGAGAGTGGCCGTTGCGTGTCCAGGCCAATTATTGTCAAAACTTGCTTTTTGATTGGCGTAAACTAAAGTTGTGAAAGTTACAGAAAACCAGTCATAAAAAAATATGTTTAATGTTAGAAATAGTTGATAATACTTATTCTTCAATTGTGGGTCAGTAACACAAAGTTTTAGGCAGTATGTTTATTTAGCCTATAGGCCCAAGTGAAGGATGGTGATTTTTTTATTTAATAATACATTTTCAAAACTCTTCTGAAGGTGCAAGCATCTTTGCGTCCCACAAGTATCCCTAAGGACACACATTTACTTGTTGATCTCAAAGAAAAATCGAACTTTCAGAAAACAACATGTAGTTCAGTATTACGCAGCGGAACTAGCCCAAAAATATGATCTTAATGAGAAAAAGCTAATTGAGACGTTTTCCAGCAGAGTTAGGACATGATGTTCTGTTTAAGCTTTGAGTCCAATGTGAGCAGCTCCTCTACATAGACCCCTCCCCCCTCCCCCCTCTCACCAAGCTAAAATAGTTAAATAATCATCAATAGTGCGCCATAATCTCACAGGCTTGTATTGATGTGGAATTGGTTACGTAAAATGTAGGTTATGAAACGTGACATACAGCAGCAGTGGTGGTGGTGGGGAGGCTCCTCTGTCACACTCAGATAAACTTTCTTACTTTGGGGTGCTGTGAGGACACACGCTCCAAGCTCTCTCCTCTGCAACTGCACATATTTCAGCACGAAATCACTCTTTAACGTGGCTCTGATTTTACAAAATGTTCGTCCTGGACCAGATAAATTCTTTCATCTGTTGCTTTTATTTAAAACTACATGACGGTTTTGCCTTAATTTCGAATTGCAGCTCATGTATTAAAGTGTATCCCCCACCTTATTTCCATCTGTTCGCATTTTCAACTTTTCTGTAAAATTAAAAAACAAAAAGGAAAAAAATTCCTTTTCCACATTGTTATGCTGACGTCACCTGCAGAAACAAAGCAAGGGGCCCACTTGCCATTAAATGGCACAAAATAGCAGACAGGCCCAGAAGTGCCCTAATTCCGTCATGATTGTAGTGGACGCTCATGTTTGTCAACCTTTAACCCGATGTGTTTCCGAAAATGATTGAGGGTTGAGAGCACATAAACTGAAAGTTTCCAATCTGTCATTGTGAAAGCAGAAAACACTGACAGAGCTGCGCCCTAAATGTTCCCAGGTCCCTTTTTACTGCAACAAGGCAACACAAGGTGTAGAAAGCTGTATTTCTTAAATGATTTAATAATTTTCTGTAGCTTCACATTTTAATTAGAAATTGAATAGTGACTTGCAGACCCATGTAATCACTGCAGAGTATACTGATGTATTTTATATAGATGACTGAAATTAATGAAATACTAATTTGCTGAAATCATCTTGAATAACCAACTTAGAGTTTAGCCTTATATTTTTTCGCATTAACATATATGCTACTAAAAACATATTCAACTTGACTTCAATTTGTAAATTTAAAATTTGGCATTAAAAAACAAAATCACAGATTCATATTTGAGACGTAAGTTTAGCTTTCTTTCAAAAAACAATAAAAAGCTAAAAATGCAACAGCCGAAACATACAAACCCTGTACTCTATCGAATAGTGGTGTATTTTGTAGCGATTCAGTAAAAAAATTTCTGTGTTATTCGTAAAAATTCATTAAATATGCCAAAATGGCGGCGATTTAGCATTACATTTAAAAGTTACACGTTTAAATGCACAATTTCAGTTTACATTTCTAGATTGTATTACATTTTTAGCATTTTGACATGTGCAATCCCCTCTAACCCTTCAGCTTCATGAGGCCGACCATTTCTGTAGATGCTTGACAGGCCAGACAAAATCCTAGTGACTGCTGCACACAAAATATCACTCCCAACAATCAAAACATTCATGTCAGGGAATACCCTTTACTGCCATAGGGTCCATGCTACTCCCAGTACAGTAAGCATGCACTATATGAGCAACAAATGTGATATTTAGAGATGTAATCAAATAGAAAAAATACAGCGTTATAGATTTCACTTAAAATTCTGCAACATTTTTAAACTTTAACCCCGGACTTCTGATTAGAGTCTTTAAATAATGCACATCAGATTTTTCCATCTTTTCCATCTTTTTCCATCTTTGCACAAAATGCAATAACCTAATACACACATAAACCTATACTATTCCCGTCCTGTATTAGAATAACCAGGAAATACACTTGGGTATTATACCAAAGTGATAGCAAACATTGTAACAAAAAGAAATAAATAAATGATAGGGAACTAAATAATATTTTTGAATTATGAAAATCCGCTTTGTTTGTGTGTTCATGTAGCAGGAACATTGCCTCGGTGTGTGTGTGTGTGTGTGTGTGTGTGTGTTTATGCATGTGTGTGTACGTCCAAACAACTGTATGCATTAGTGTAACTGATGAGGGATGGCAGTGCACACTCTTGCCATGACTTTATGGAATTTAGGTGAATTAACAGGTTTGGGATGAGTCCATTTGAAGACAGATGCTCCAGTAAATCACAGCAAGAAGTCAATTAGCCCTCTCCATCAGCCATATGAAGGCAAACACCAGGTACTACAGCAGTCACTCAACCAGCAACTGGCCATATCATCTAATTCAGATGAAGATCTGTGAAGGTATTGTAATATTTGAAAGTGTAACACCCGTGCTGAATCACACACAGCAAATACGACATGTCTTTTTTTCTCCAATTACAAACAAAAACAAACACAAAATCAGCACAAAAAAATCCCGAATAATATGCAATGCAGACAAGCTTTATATGGTACAATACCAAATTATAAGACTGTTAAATTATCCTAAATTTTGGAACACTGTAGTATCTAATGAGACCAAAGCCTTGACATCATCAGCTGCTTTGCATAGACATATACAATACACTTTCATAAAAGCTATGTAAGCTATTTGTATTACGCCGCATCATGTAAATATTGTTTTAAGAAAACACTAGGTATTCTTATATAAGTGGATGCAAATGCTGCAGGCATAAACGGTATTCTCCCAGAAAAATATAAGAGCTAAAATGGTAACACATCTGATTCTGAGACTGTATGAAATTTAGTGAATAATGGTATGAATGTCGAGCAGAAGCTGAGCCTTTTTCCTGCTGTGCTCTGCAGAATGCAAGAAAAGAGTCGAAGAGAATGAACCCAATGCAGCACACTGAAAAATAAAATTAATTGATCTTATTTACTCAATTCATATATACTATATATACTCTAAGAGCTAGGACATGCTATATTCAACCTCAACAAAATAACCTGAAAATGAATTATGAAGGAGGTCCATTTAAGCCAAACAGTGAATACGATATGGTTATTTAATTCTGCCCTTTGGAAAAATGACCATTTCCTGCCTTTTTGCAATTTAATTCTGAATGACACATTTATATACAGCAGTGTTTGGTAAAATATGTGATATTTGAGAATGGTTTTGGTATTGTTTCAAGGATATGGAGATTTCACTTTTGTCTGGTCACTATTGAGTTAACTTCAAGCTCACAAAGTTGTCAGCACAGGCGGCCTGAGCCAGCCAAGCACAGTGTAGGCTACAGGCCAGACAACGAGGACTAAAAAAATATTTAGTCGACTATGCTGTTAGAAATCCAAAGGATTCTTCTGCCAAAGGCTGATTTGATCATATAAGGAAACACTCTTCATGCATCTAGGTCATTTCTCATATTAAGCAATGAAATAACGTTCAGAGCTGCTGACACGTCTACTCAGAATAAATGTATAAACGTGAGTTGATTACCATGTAGGCTGATGCTTATGTTCTGCTCTTTCCAACAGCATACTGTCACAGAGGTGTGCACACTACAATTTTGTGTTATTTTAAGGTAACGCGCATGCTCAGTTTGAAGAAGATTATGTTATAACCAATGGGCTATCCCAACGCCCAATGAGGTAATCCCAGCAGAGATAACTAAATCATCACATTAAACATAGGAGTCCTGCAGAATATCCTGCAACAATTTAGCACGTAGCAACACGCGTTCGACTAATTACTGAAAAATTGTGCCAGGCTTTAAATACAAAGTAATACACTGGCCTTTGATTGCATCTTAGCATTTTATGCAATTAAGTAAAAGTCTACAAAGAATAAAGCTAGTGCGAAATCGTGTTTTTTTTTTCTTCATAAATAAGGGAAGCCCAACATTTATCAGAATGAAATTAGATTGATGTAAAAAAAATAGAGGGGAAAATGTAACTGAGCGGAAGGCGACATGCACGAGCGGGGTAAAATATTTCTTTGGGGAGTGGGGGGGTGGCTGGTGATAGTGATATGAATGGTTTAAAAAACGTCCACTTCTAAGAGAGCTCTTTATAGCTGAACCTGTATTTAGCAATTTATTTATTTTTATTTTTCTGTATTTCCTCTTTTAATAATACTCTATGACACGTCCGCCTGCCAGGCAAGTGACAAAAAAAATAAAAAGAATGAAAAAAAAATCTGCTAATATTACGCAATCCTACCTCTCTACTTTTGTTTTGATTAATGTGTGAAAAGATTATA